AGAGTTAGATGTATAAACCTGGGGTTCACTGAATGATCTTTACAGGAGACATTCACGATAAAGTTATTGGCATTGATGTGGTAACAGATACAACTGGAAAATATTTAAAAAAGGGAATATAAAAAAGGACAATAGGGCAGCACTAAGCTTTTGAGAAATTCAGTATAAAGAGATCAAAAAAGAGATGATCATTTTTAATGAGACTGAAACATATTTGATATAAGGAAATAAAGGCGGACACTTGATAGTTTAAGGTTAAAAGACAAGAGTTTAAAATAAAGAATTAAGGTTTATTATGAGAGAATTAGAACTGGGTAGTTATGAAGGGTGGCTCCTAGGAAATACTTGCTACTTACCTGAATAGCCTATATTATTTTGTTAAGGTTTAATTTTTGCATTGATGTAGATATAACAATGAAGAAGGACATTAGAATTTTGTGTTATTATCCTTCAGGTAACAGTTTTAATTACGTATGTTAATATTGGATGATTTACCTCTTGTTTTGATGAAATAATGGAGATCAAGCTAATGTATATGAGAAAATAATAGAGTCTCCCATGGAAAAGTCCATAAGGGAGAGATGCATTATTTGCCCACCAGGACACTACCTCAACATGTTCCCTTCACTTTAGGAGTCATTTTTGATACACTGTTAACCCTGTTAAGCTTGTTATATCAATATCCAATATTAGATATACACATACATAATAATCATCATTACAGAGATCTTAAATCTCTTTCTGAAATATCTGAATACACAGGTAACTCTTTAGATGGATTAATCTTTGAGCAGATGTTTGCAACATTTTCAGTGTGAAACTCCCAGGCCTATGGAATCTGAAGTGATTTAATTCTGTTATCATTTACTGGATCTTACAGAAGCAATAGGGTATTTTTTAGAATGAAAATGTATAACGGTGGATTGCTAGATTCACAGAAGCCATACTATAATACACCTTTTAAACAGAGAAACAAAGTTGTGAGCATTCTATATTATACCATCATTTGTTCTTCCTTTTCAGTCTGTAGCTTAGAAGATATAGCTTATCATTTTTCCCAGAGCTCTATTTGTGTCGCTCTCAATAAAGCTTATTAAAGTGGAATGATATATCCAGTCATTGCCATGCTAATCAATGCACAAGGATTTCTTCATGGTGTCACTATTTTTATTGAGAAAAAAACCAGGGTAATTTACAAGCAGAAAGTCAATGTTCCAAAACCACGTGTTTTCTTACATGGATTTACCTATATCCATCCCACCGCCACTACTGCTAAATGGTACCAATTTATGAAGTTGTTTTAAACATAGCCTAATTTCTTCAGCAACAAAACTTTGTGGAGGGTGGTGAGTCTTTTGTTTATGTTATTCATGACAACGTATCTATAGTTTATTGATTTTAAAAGTATTTTGCATAGATGACGATTTCTTTTTTCATTGCGTTATCTCCTCAAGGCCATTATCCTCTTTTCAGTAGTATAGGAAAGGCATTCTTAGCCTCTGGGATTTAATGAATGCAATGAAATATGTGGGTCCCAAAGGCCCCGAAATCTCCTAAAACTATGAAATGATGGGAGTTGGCATTTTGTTTCTCCCCCCCTCCTTCTCTCTCTCTATCTCTGTCTCTGTCTCTTTCACTCACTCTCTCTCTCTCTCACACACACACACGTACACACATGTGCACACACAGACTTCTTCACAGAGTCCACAAACTCTAAAATGTTACTGGCTCCCCAGGGAAATTCCAATATAATGTAGGAATCAGTGTTATAGTCTACAAATAGCAGTTTCTTAGTAACTAACATCCTGGAATTTCCCTTTGTAATATACCATAGCATACATTTCTTAATGCCCTCATTTACATTTGAAAAGAAAATGAGAACATTCCTTGCAGTACATTTGCTAATACTATAAGTGCTATGCTTTTTGCAGAAAGACAGGAAGAAGCAGGTTTAAACATAAATGTAGGGACAAAGGACAGAGGACTATGGGGGAATTTAAGGATGGCGTCATTAAGGACATTTACAATATTGTGTTCCTAATTGTTTATAGCCCCTACTAAGTTTGCCCCCATAAAGATACACACTGTAGAATGCTGAGATTTCTTTCTTGGAAAGTGTTCATAGAAATGTATTCACATTGTCATTTATAACTTTACATTTACTGATTTCCTATAATCACCTAATTATTTACCTGCTCTGAACATACAACCAATTACATAGATAGTAAGTATTTAAGATGAATTATGGACTATGGTAACTTGTTAGTGAGCAGAGAGCTGAGTAAGACATAAAATGGGGATGGGAAAAGGCCAGTTCTAGACACAGGTGAGAAAGAGGAGAGTCTTCAACCCTCAACATAAAAGAGGTGGGGACAATACAGGTTGTCTTTTGCCTCTGTACTTTTATTAGAACTTATTGTTAACAATAATGTAACTACATTCATAGAGATACATTGTATCTGTATGTTTCCCCCAGTGACATAAAGAAAATTTAAATTGCACAAATCACTAGAGCAGCAGTTTTGCATCTTCCCAGCTATCTAGAAGTTCTTTCTGAAATGCAGCCACAAGTGTTGTCTAGGAGGATGTGTGTCATTAATGTGGGGATTTTTATTAAGAAAGGATGCTGTATTTTGTCAGATTTTTTTCTGCCTCTATTGGCAGGATCATATGGTTCTTTTCCCTTCTTCTATTAATGTGATGTATCATCACATTAATTGATTTCTGAATATTGAATTAGCTCTCCAGCCCAGGAATGAATCCTACTTGATCATGGTGAATAATTCTTTTAACATACTGTCGATTTTGATTTGCTAGAATCTTGTTGAGAATGTTTGCATCCATGTTCATCGGGGATATTGACCTGTAATTCTCCATTTTAGTGGGGTCTCTGGTTTGGGAATCAAGGTAACCCTGGCTTCATAGAATAAGCCCAGAAGCTTTCCTTCCATTTCTATTTTTTTTTTTTTTTTGGAAAAGCTAGAAAATGATAGGTATGAACTCTGCTTTAAATATTTGATAGAATTCCCCTGGGAAGCCATCTGGCCCAGGAATCTTATTTGTTGAGTTATTTTTGATAACTGATTCAATTTCTTTGCTGGTTATGTGTCTGTTCAAATTTTCTATTTCTTCCCATTTGAGTTTTGGTAGTGTGTGGGTGTCTAGGAATTTGTCCATTTCTTCCAGGTTATATGCCAAGTTTCTTGACATATAATTTTTTATAGTATTCTCTAACATTGTTTGCATTTCTGTGGTGTCATTATCTCTCCTGTTTCATTAATGATTTTATCTATTCGGATTCTCTCTCTTCTTTTTGAAAAGTCTGGCTAGGGGTTTATCAATTTTCCTTATTTTAAAAAAAAACAGCTCTTAGATTCATTGATGTATTCTGTTTATTTGGATTCTATAGTGTTTATTTCTTATTTAATCCTTATTATTTTTCTTCTGTTGTTAGCTTTAGGATACCTTTGCTGTTCTCCTTCTAGTTTGTTTAGGTGTGTGACTAGGTTTAGTATATGGGATTTTTCTTGTTTCTTAAGAAAGGCCTGGATAACAATGTATCTTCCCCTTAGGACTGCCTTTGCTACATCCCAAAGGGTTTGGACTGTCTATGTTTTCCTTTTCATTTGCTTACATCAATTTTTAATTTCTTAATTATCTGCTTGACCTATTCATTCTTTAGTAGGATGTTCTTTAACCTCCATGCATTTGAAGACTTTTTAAATTTTTTCTTGTCGTTGATTTCAAGTTTCATAGCATTGTGATATGAAAATATGCATAGTATGCATAGATCATAATCTCGGTTCTTTTATGTTTATTGAGGGCTGTTTTGTGACCTAGTATGTGATCTATCTTGGAGAATGTTCCATGTGTTACTTGAGAAGAATGGTTATTCTACTGCTTTTGGATGAAAAGCTCTGTCAAGTCCATCTGCTTCAGTGTATCATTCAAGGCCATTGCTTCTTTATTGATTTTCTGCCTAGATGATCCGTCCTTTGCTGTAAGTGGAGTATTAATGTCCCCTGCAATTATAGTATTCTTACCAATAAGATTGCTTATGTTTGTGATTAATTGATTTATATATACGGGGCTTCCAAGTTGGGGCCATAAACATTTACAGTTGTTAGATCTTCTTGATGGATAGACTCCACAAGGTGATATAATGCTCTTCTTCATCTCTTGTTACAGCCTTTAGTTTAAAATGTAGTTTGTCTAATAGAAGTATGGCTACTCCAGCTTTCTTGTGACTTCCAGTAGCATGATAGATGGTTCTCCATCCCCTCACCTGAAGGTGTCCTCAGGTCTAAAATGAGTCTCTTTTAGACAGCATATTCATGGATCTTGTTTTTTTATCCATTCTGATACCCTATGTCTTTTGATGGGAGCATTTAGTCTTTTTACATTCAGAGTTATTACTAAAAGATATGGATTTAGTGTCCTTGTGTTATCTGTAGGTTTAATGCTTGTGGTGATGTCTTTGGTCCTTTGTAGTCTAAGCAGTGTTCCACTCACAGAGTCCCCTTAGGATCTCTTGCAGGACTGGTTTAGTGGTCATGAACTCCTTCAGCTTTTATTTGTTTGGTAAAGCTTTTATCTCTCCTTCTGTTTCGAATGACAGCTTTGCTGGATAAAGGATTCTTGACTGCATGTTTTTCCTATTCAGCACATTGAATATTTCCTGCCACTCCCTTCTGGCCTGCCAAGTGTCAGTGGACAGGTCTACTACTACCCTTAGGTGTCTACCCTTACAGGTTAAGGCCTGTTTGTCCCTAGTTGCTTTCAGAATTCTCTCTTCATCTTTGTATTTTGCCAATTTCATTATGATATGCCATGATGAAGACCTATTCTTGTTGAATCTGAAGGGAGTTCTCTGTGCTTCCTGGATTTTGATATCTGTTTCCTTTCCCAGATTAGGGAAGTTCTCAGCTATAATTTGTTTAAGTACACCTTCTGCCCCTTTCTCTCTCTTCTTCTTCTTATAGAACTTCTGTGATACAGATAATAATATGGAATGTTTCGTGAGTTTGCATATCATCCTTGTGAAGGAGCTATGCCAATCTTCTCTGTATCATTCTAATTTTAGTATATGTGCTGTCAAAGTGAGCACTCTATATGTGCTTTAAAGAAAGGTGATCTCAATGTGTATGCCTTTTATTTTTTTTTTTGTTACTATTTTTTGCCTTTTGAAGTTACTTATTGTCAAGTTGGTTTCCATATAACACAGTGCACATCCCAACAAGTGCCCTCCTCCATGCTCATCACCCCTTTCCCCTATCCCTCACTCCCGCTCAGCCCTCAGTTTGTTCTCAGCATTCAAGAATCTCTCATGGTTTTTCTCCCTCCCTCTCCCCAACTGTTTTTCGCCTTCTTCTCCCACTTTGTCCTCTGTTAACTTCCTCCTAGTCCACCTATATGTGCAAACATGGTATTTCTCCTTTTCTGCCTGACTTATTTTGCTCAGTATAATAGTTCCATCCTTGTTGCTACAAATGGCCAGAATTCATTCTTTCTCATTGCCATGTAGTAGTCCACTGTATAAATATACAACATCTTGATCCATTCATCAGTAGATGGACACTTAGGCTCTTACCATGATTTGGCTATTGTTGAGAGTGCTGCTATGAACATTGGGGTACATGGGCCCCTATGCATCATCATTCCTGTATCCCTTGGGCAAATTCCTAGCAGTGCTACTGCTGGGTCTTTGGGGAGTTCTATTGTTAATTTTTTGAGGAACCTCCACACTGTTTACAGAGGGGTTGCACCAGCTTACATTCCCACCAACAGTGTAGGTGGGTGCCCATGTCTCCACATCCTCACCAGCATCTAGAATCTCCTGATTTGTTCATTTTAGTTACTCTGACCAGTGTGAGGTGGTATCTCAGTGTGGTTTTGAATTGTATTTCCCTGATGAGGAGGGACACTGAGCATCGTTTCATGTGTCTGTTGGCAATCTGGATGTCCTCTTTGGAGAAGTGTCTGTTCATCTTCTGCCCGTTTATTCATTGGATTATTAGTTTTTCAGGTGTGGAGTTTGGTGAGTTCCTTATAGATTGTGGATACTAGCCCTTTATCTGATGTGTCATTTGCAACTATCTTTTCCCCTTCCATCGGTTGCCTGTTAGTTTTATGGATTGTTTCCCTTGCCATGCTGAAGCTTTTAATCTTGATGAAGTCCCAGTAGTTCATTTTTGCTCTTGATTCTTTGCCCCGGGGGATGTGTCAAGCAAGAAATTGCTGTGGTTGAGGTCAATGAGGTTGTTTCCAGCTTTCTCCTCTAGGGTTTTGATGGTTTCCTTTCTCACATTCAAGTCCTTTATCCATTTTGAGTTTATTTTTGTGTATGGTGTGAGAAAATGATCTAGTGTCATTCTTCTGCATGTTGCTGTCCAGTTCTCCTAGCACCATCTGTTAAAGAGTCTGTCTTTTTTTCATTGGATACTCTTTCTGGCTTTGTCAAAGATTAATTGGCTGTATATTTTTGGGTCCAATTCTGAGTTCTCTATTCTATTCCATTGGTCTATGTGTCTGTTTTGTGCCAATACCATACTGTCTTGATGATGACAGCTTTGTAGTAGAGGCTAAAAAATAGGATAGTGATGCCTCCAAATTTAATTTTCTTCTTCAATATTACTTTGACTATTCAGGGTCTTTTGTGGTTCCATACAAATTTTAGGATAGTTTGTTGTAGTTTTGAGAAGGATGCTGGTGCAATTTTGATTGGGATTGCATTGAATGTGTAGATTGCTTTGGGTAGTAATGACATTTTAACTATATTTATTCTTGCAATCCATGAGCATGGAATGTTTTTCCATTTCTTTGGGTCTTCTTCAATTTCCTTCATAAGTTTTCTATAGTTTTCATCATACAGATCTCTTATATCTTTGGTTAGGTTTATTCCTAGGTTTTTTTTTTTTTTTTTTTTTTTTGTGCAATTGTGAATGGGATCAGTTTCTTGATTTCTCTTTCTGTTGCTTCATTATTGGTGTATAAAAATGCAACCGATTTCTGTACGTTGATTTTGTATCCTGCAACATTGCTGAATTCATGGATCAGTCCTAGTAGGCTTCTGGTGGAGTCTGTCAGGTTTTCTATGTAGAGTATCATGTCGTCTGTGAAAAGTGGAAGTTTGACTTCTTCTTTACCAATTCTGATGCCGTTTATTTCCTTTTGTTGTCTGATGGCTGATGCTAGGACTTCCAGCACTATGTTAAACAACAGTGGTGAGAGTGGACATCCCTGTCGTGTTCGTGTTCCTGATCTCAGGGGGAAAGCTCTCAGTTTTTCTCCATTGAGGATGATGTTAGCTGAGGGCTTCTCCTAGATGGCTTTTATGATGTTTAGGTAAGTTCCTTCTATCCATTCTCGAGGGTCTTTATTAAGAAGGGATGCTGGGGGCGCCTGGGTGGCTTAGTCGGTTAAGCGTCCGACTTTCGCTTAGGTCATGATCTCGCGGTTCGTGGGTTCGGGCCCCGCATCAGGCTCTGTGCTGACTGCCAACTCAGAGCCTGGAGCCTGTTTCAGTCTGTGACTCCCTCTCTCTCTGACTCTCCCCTGCTCACACTGTCTCTCTCTCCTAGAAATAAATAAAACATTAAAAAAAAAAAAAAGAAGGGATGCTGTATTTTGTCAAATGCTTTTTCTGCATCTATCGACAGGATCATATGGTTTTTATCTTTTCTTTGATAATGTGATGATTCACATTGTTTGATTAGTGAATATTGAACCAGCCCTGTAACCCAGGAATGAATCCCACTTGATCACAGTGGATAATTCTTTTTATGTGCTGTTGGATTCGATTTGCAAGGATCTTGTTGAGGACTTTTGCATCCATATTCATCAAGGATATTGGCCTGTAGTTCTCTTTTTTTGCTGGATCTCTGTCTGGCTTGGGAATCAAAGTGATGCAGGCTTCATAAAATGAGTCCAAAAGTTTTCCTTCGATTTCTATTTTTTGGAATAGCTTGAGAAGAATGGGTATTAATTCTGTTTTAAATGTCTGGTAGAATTCCCCAGGGAAGCCATCTGGCCCAGGGCTCTTATTTTTTGGGTAGTTTTGGTAACTGATTCAGTTTCCTCACTAGTTATGGGTCTTTTCAGATTTTCTATCACTTCTTGTGTGAATTTTGTTAGAGAGTGTGTGTTTAGGAATTTGTCCATTTCTTCTAAGCTGTGTAGTTTGTTGGCATAAAATTTTTCATAGTATTCCCTGATAATTGCCTGATAATTGCTTGTTTTTCTGAGCGGTTGGTTGTAATAAGTCCTTTTTCATTCATGATTTTGTCTATTTGAGTGCTCTCTCTTTTCTTTTTGAGAAGCCTAGCTAGAGCTTTGTCAATTTTGTTTATCTTTTCAAAAAACCGACTCTTGGTTTCGTTGATCTGTTCAACTGTTTCTTTAGTTTCTATATTGTTTGTTTCTGCCCTGATTTTTATTATTTCTCTTCTTCTACTGGGTTTGGGGTGCTCCTGTTGCTCTCCCTATAGTTCCTTTAGGTGCGGTGTTAGATTTTATATTTGCACTTTTTCAAATTTCTTGAAATAGGCCTGGAGTGCAATGTCCTTTCCTCTTAGGACTGCCTTGCCGCATCCCATAGAGTTTGGATTGTTATATTTTCGTTTTCATTTGTTTCCATATATTTTTTAATTTCTTCTCTAATTGCCTGATTGATGTATTCATTCTTTAGTAGGGTGTTCTTTAACCTCCATATTTTTGGAGGTTTTCCAGACTTCTTCCTGTGATTGATTTCAAGTTCCATAGCATTGTGATCTGAGAGTGTGCATGGTATGATCTCAATTCTTTTATACTTTTTGAGGGCTGCTTGATGTCCCAGTATGTGATCTATCTTGGAGAATGTGCCATGTGCACTTGAGAAGAAAGTGAATTCCATGGCCTCAGGATGTAGAGTTCTAAATATATCTGTCAAATCCATTTGGTCCAATGTGTTATTCAAGTCCATTGGTTCTTTTGTGATTTTCTGTCTAGTTGATCTATCCATTGCTGTAAGTGGAGAATTAAAGTCCCCTGCTATTAGCACATTCTTGTCCATAAGATTGTTTCTGTTTGTGATTAATTGTTTTATATATTTAGGTGCTCCCATATTCAGTGCGTGGACATATATAATTGTTACTTCTTCCTGATGCATAGGCCCTTTAATTATTATATAATGCCTTTCTCCACCCCTTGTTACTGTCTTTAAAGTCCAGTTTGTCTGATATAAGTATAGCTACTCTGTCTTTCTTTTGACTTCCAGTAGCATAATATATATTTCTCCACTCCCTTACTTTCAATCTGAAGGTGTCTTCAAGTCTAAAATGTGTTTCTTGTAGACAGCAAATAGATGGATTTTGTTTTTTTAATCCATTCTGTTTACCCTATGTCTTTTGATTGGAGCCTTCAGCCCATTTACATTCAGTGTTATTATTGAAATATATGGGTTTAGAGCCATTGTGTCCTTTGTAGGATTCACGCTTGTGGTGGTGTCTCTGGTATCTTGTCTTCCTTTCAACATTTCCCTCAGAGAGTCCGCCTCAGGATTTCTTGTAGGGCTGGTTTAGTTTTGACAAATTCTATTTTTGTTTATTTGGAAAGACTTTTATCTCTCCTTCTTTTCTGAATGGCAGGCTTTCTGGATAGAGGATTCTTGGCTGCATATTTTTTTCTGTTCATCACATTGTTTATTTCCTGCCATTCCTTTCTGGCCTGCCACGTTCCATTAGATAGGTCTGTAACCACTCGGATAGGTTTCCCTTTGTATGTTAGAGCCCTTTCCTCCCTAGCTGCTTTCAGAATTCTCTCTCTGTCCTTATATTTTGTCAGTTTCACTATGATATGTCATGAAGAAGATCGATTCAAGTTACGTCTGAGGGGAGTAGTTCTCTGTGCCTCTTGAATTTCAACATCTACTTCCCTCCCCAGGTTGGGGAAGTTCTCTGCTATAATTTGTTCCAGGACTCCTTCAGCACCTTTCCCTCTCTCTTCCTCTTATGGAATTCCTATGGTATGGATGTTGTTCCATTTGATTGTATCACAATGAGCTCTCAAACTCATTTTTCATATTCCTGGATCAGTTTATCTCTTTTTCTCAGCTTCCTCTTTTTCTATAAT